AAGTATCAAGAGGCTTGAGAGAACTGCATAATAATTTGTAGTCTACATCAAATATTGACACAGTTATTAAATAAAGATGAGATGAACTGGTCATATATTATGCATAGGAGGGGTAAAAATTGACCACAGAATTTTAATTGGGGCACCTGATAGGAAGAGACAACTTGATGCTTGAAAGACTCACATGTGAATGGACATAAACATTAAAATTCTACAAGAAATAGTGTGCTAATATGGATAGTTTCATCTTGCTCATGATAGGAACCAGTAGTAATCTCTTGCTAATATGTTAATGAATTTCTGTATTCCATTAAAGGAAGGAAACTTCTTGACTAACTGAGTGATGTAGTACCTCCCCAAATAAACATGAACTCTGCTATATAATGTCAGCTTGTTATTAACAACAAATAAACGAAAAGCATGTCTATGGTTACATGCTCACCACCTTATGGCTGCCACATTTAATGTGAAATATATATTCCATGTCTCATATCTACTCTAATGGCACTGCACAAGCACACTGCACAATTTTGCTTCAGCTGCAACAAGCAAATGTTCTCATTCACAATAAAGCAAGCAGCTGAATCATTCCTGTAGTTTCTGTAGCAGTAAGAAAGGTGCAGAAAACTGTCATGTAAGCATAGGGGACATTCCAAATAAAACATTTCGCTCATGACCTTACCTGTTAGAGTTACACAAATTGTCCACACTTAGAAATCTTTCATAGATTTTGCTTCTTGCTCACTTGCATCAGAATTATACATTAAAATAATAGCACAAAGCATAATCATCTTTCAGATTTCCATGTGTAATAGAAAATCACTTAGGTATATATAATGAAGTCATTCATTAGGTAAATTTATTCATAGAATCTACAGAACCACTGACTAACTTAGAAATAACATAACAGGTATAACTGAGGAGTTCAGAAAGTGCACGGTAGGAGCATGTAACACATTTGAATGCAACATTAAATATCACATTCAGTACATAGCACACTAAAATATATTGTAAGAGAGGACATTAAATTGACTGGCCTGGTAACATCCTCTTTCAGCGAATTTAAATGGAGTGTGATCAGGCATTAAGTTACATACCTTGAATCATTAGGTGGGACTGCATAAAATTATGAAAAGTATCAGACAAGATGCTGGAATTGAGGTTCTCACAGCAGTAACAATAAAGAGTGATATCTTCTGGATGTGATGGCACATAATTTCTTAGAACTTCTGTCAGATAATACAGCATCACATCACAGAAGTTCGTAATTTTTGATGAGTTGGAACAATGAACCTTTTGAATACAAAACACTGGTTCTAACTGTTACAACACAATTTTTGTTTCTTGCATAGTCCTTTAAAATATTTCTGTATCATCTAACTACACTTACAGTATTTTATTCTTTGTAATACTGGGTTTCCATGAAGAGACTGACTTCTGTTAACTACCTCTATTGAAACTCCTGTAAGCTAAAACTGAATACACTTTCTTATTACAATAACAAACCTTCTGTTTGCTGATTAAGTATTTTAGTTCATTCATTCATTCATTCATTCATTTCCTTTATTTTCCATATATCCATACAGGTAACAAACCTAGGATGTGCTGACTGATGAAGCAAAATTATGGTGCCTTACATCATATTACTATGTATTTGACCATAATGAGCATGAATATTAATTGAAGATATTTTATTTGATACTTGTTTGTTAAGTCACTGATTAAATTTTTTTCAGTATTACTAGACATAAATTGTAACTGACTTTTTACACATTAGTGTCATTCATATTTTAAAAGATCAATTGGTACTGATAAAATTTATTGGTGTTATCAAATGTGCTTATGTTATGGAACATCTGCGCTAGAAATTCCGTCCCATTTTCTATTTCATGTGTGTCTATCACAGATTTGGACTCAAAAATCTTTCCATAGTGGGCCAATTTTGCTGCATATCCTGCATTGATCCTCAGGTACAGATATTAAAATGCTAAATTATTTACTGTGACTGAAACCTGACTCTGACTTAGTAAACAGACCAAATGAAAGCACTAAATTATGCCTGAAACGCTAAGAATGCATGAACATAAGATGCACTCAGTAGATGTTGTCATGGTGGCACAATTCTGTGAAAATATATCATTGCACGCTTTGCACTATATACAGCTGACAAAGTGAATAGAAGGAATGTAATAAAGATGGTGATGAAACACAGAGTGCTTTTGTTAAACAAATAGTTTTATAATGCACCTCTGAACATGACTGCATAATTAAGGGAACTGGAGTGAAGGAAGTCTCCCTTAACCTGAGTGGTGAAAGGTATTAAGAATGCAGATAAATATATATAAAAATATATTAAAATCAAAATCAAAATGTTGTAGTCAGTGGATATAATTAAATGCCAAACTTATGTTACACAATGATTTGTGTTAGAAGTATATAAAGAAGTGGAATTGTTTAGCATAATATGTTTCAGGATGATTTACTGTAAAACCCACAGAATTAAAAAATCACAGAAAACAGTGTTTTTGAAGTTTATATGTAATTTAAAATTAGGCTAACAGACAACAGCCTTAAACAGACTTTCCAAAATGTAATTAATATTTTCCTTTTGAAAAAGTATTACAGCACATATTAAAAAAAGAGATTGCAGTGTCATGAACCAGACTGATTTGGCTCAAACATTCTCAAGTGGCAAGATTTTGTGTTGAAAGGGATGAACTTTTGAATTCTGTAATGGAGAATTTCTTCTACATTTACATTGACTAGATTTGATTGAAGCAGAATACTGAGCCAGGATTCCTTAAATAGTTTTTTTTTTCAGTTAGATAAATATACTGCATCTTTCTCAGCAATAAAATGGCCTGTGTATGGAATGTGTGTGTTTATACAGGGGTTAACAAATCATGACTCAGTTTACCGATGGATAAACATTCTACATGAGAGAAATTTCTCTACAAGTGAAACGGTGCCAACACATTCCATTGTAAGTTCTTATTATCCTTATTATCCTTATTATCATATGACTCACATGACATCCATTACATTACATAATATGTATACAACCTATAATTTACAGCATTTACTATTTGGCATCTAAAGAGAAATGAAGAAAGAGAGTGTGTGAAAATATTACTGAATAAATCAAAGATTTTTTACTCATTGTTCTTGATTTTTCACTCATCACAAACAAGTAGACGAGTTGGTTTGTTGAGCCCTGTATATATTTGTATGTGTATAAATACATATGGAAAAAACCACTTGGAAGAACAAGGAAAATTTGGATAATCTGAAGACGTGTCTCAGAGAAATGGGTTTTGAGGGTGAGAGATGGACGGAACGGCATGACATCACATCCAATGGGAGTCTTTGGTATTCACAGTGTTGAAATTCCTGCTGTCAGAAATTCAGAGAAGACTAATTAATTACTGATTTTCAGTGATGGAAAGTCATGAAATGATGGCAATGGATTGTTAAGAGGTTACAGCAAAGTTTATTTTATATTACCAATTACAAACTCTATTACGGGCAGAAGTACTTGGTGTTTCTTAAAAATATATATTGTTCGTAGCACAAAGAGGGTTAATGTATGGAATCTAAAAGTTCATTTTTTTTTGTGTCATAATGGTAACAACAGTGATAATGATAATGATGATAGTGATACTACTACTACTACTACTACTACTACTACTACTACTATCACCACCGACAACAACAACAATCACTTAATATTATTCTATAAAATTCAAATTCCGATAGAAGCTGTTGCCAGTTAATATCCTGGTCAATAAATTCCCCAATGCTATGAAGCCGAATGTTCATCTCATCACCACAAAAACCTGCCACCAAACCTGTCTCGATTCACTTAAATTCGCAATATATATTTGTAAAACAAATTTTAATATCAATCTTCTAATGCATTCCTAAATTTTGAAAGTGGTCTTTTCACATGATAGTTTCCAATAAAAATTTTGTTTTCCCACTATCTGTGCTAGATATATCTTTCAGTATTTATGTGCGTGATTACTCAGGCTACATTCAACTGTAGCCATCAATGAATCGGTGTAACCTTCTTGCACCTACTTCAGTCCAAGGCCAGAAACTACAAATGAAATTATATTAAATAAACAAACACATTTATAAAATACTGATTCTAATGGAAATGGCAGCCTACGAGGAAACCATCCTTTGAAGTTCTTGTTTCAGTTTGTAAAAATGTGTCTTCCCATCCCTCTGCCATGCCATTCACGTTCTGATACTATTATGACACAAGTTGGCTCACGCGGTAATGCGTCTGATTTTTATTGAAGAGGTGTCTGATTTGAATCGCTGTCAGGAGAGTGACTCATCAGGCTGAGTTTCTTAATGATTTCCTCAGCACTTCTAGCAAAGTGTCAGGATAGTTCTTTAAATTAAATCATGACCACTTTCTTCCACACCCTTTCCTATTCATTATTCACTACAATCTCATTTTACACCATATAGTTTTAATTACTGACAGTGTCCTTAAATAAGCTGAAAATAAACTGATATAAATAGATCACTTACTTTAAATGCCCATTATATTATGCAGTTCATTATGTTAAACAGAACAGAGATCGTTTTATTTTACTATATTCTTTTTATTTCATGCATTCTGTTGTGTTATAATATACAACTTCTTTATTACAACTGTCACAACACAACTAATCTTGATATTAGTTGTGTTGTGAAGGTTGTAATAAAGAAGTTGTTTACTATATTCTATTGCATTAAGCATGGCAAAAGTTTATATCATATAATGACCCCGGGCTTTCCACTTGGAATACTTTGGTTTAAGACATTTAGCCAAATAGAACTGTCATTAAGGAATACATGAAATATGATATACATTTCATCCCAGGTTAAGGTGACTTAAGTTTTTCACAGACCTGCTATCTATTTCTGCAGAGCAGAGTATTACATCTCTGAATTTGTGCAAATGTAGATGGAGCTGCATGGTAATTGAAAATGACCTGTTTCAGCTTGTGGAGAATTGTATACAAGAAGTAATCGCATCGTGGGTGGACACAGTTCTAACTTTGGTAGCCATCCATGGCAAGTAGCACTCATCAAGACAGGTTTCCTATCCAAAAAACTATCCTGTGGGGGGGCTTTGCTCAACAACAGGTGGATTGTAACAGCTGCCCATTGTGTGGCCACGTAAGTAATGAAAACACTAAGACCAAATTCAAAATAGGGTAATTTTGGTCTGCATGGTTATTGAACACACAAAAATAACGGAATTAATTAAAAAATCAACAAACAAAACCTAGTTTTATTGTTAACATTCACACATAGTCATTTCCATTAATGTGAATATGAACCCTGTATAATGAGACTGTTTTACAATTAATGACCATCAGTTCCAGATTCCTTCATGATCCCTTAACATAAACACATGAACTTTTCTTAATCAATATAGTTTTCATAGATTTTGTTACTGTCTGGCAACCTTCACCAAATCCCACTTGTCATTCAGTTAATATGCTTCTTATATGTGCTATGTTAGGTTTACCTGCACACTGCAAACGTAGACATGCATTTTATGGTCACTGTGAATACTGTGGTCTTTGCAGCACCACTAACAGCAACCTGAGGGTGCGCCTTGGGGAGTGGGATGTGAGAGACCAGTCAGAGAGACTCCACCACGAAGAGTTTGGTGTGGAACGAAAAGAGGTAAGTCTTCTTTCTGTGGGTCATTTAACAGCACTCTTAGTATCTAGAAAATGTAATGCTGGATAACAGGATGACTGATGAATAGGAAGAGATTTGGAGGGAAGCAGTTGCAGCCTAATCCGAATACTATCCCAGCTTCTATCTGTGGGAGAATGAGTAAAACCAGTCACACCTCAGTCATGATAGTAAATGTTCCATCTTAGACTCAAACAGAGAACCTCCTGAATACAAATCTAGGATGTTACTTCTAAACCAACCTGATCATGCAGTCTTCTTGAAATGAAAGAATTAGTTCAGAATGATGCACAAGCTAACTAACCAAATTTATAGTACATATATATTGTGTGATCTCTGATTACATATTACATAGTTTAATGCCCTATTACTAAACACTGACTTAGCCACCATAAACAAATAACATTATACTGAGGCCTCAAAAACAAGTCCCATATATGGCAGGGATGACAACACTCAATGGTTCTTCCTTTCTGTTTACAGTTATATTCCCCTCCAGCCCCCGCTAGCATATGTCCACTGGCTCTTGTCACCAGGAAAGGTTTTGTCACGATTATCACTACCAACATTCCAATGAACAGAATGGCTACATGACTAGGAAAGGAATTTAGGGATGTATGCTGGAGGGAGAAGTATAACAACCAAAGGGAAGTGTGGAGGAGATCAGTCCAAGGGATTTCATTGAATACTAGTAAATAAATAGTAAATGGTGCAGGGTTTTTTCAAAGACCTATCAGATGGTACCATTTGTAACTTACCACTCATATTTTGGTACTGATATTTCAGCATCAGAAATCACAGTGGTATAATGAAATTGTTTAATTGTGACCATTGAGCTCTAGCTGCACAGGACATTTCATGAAGTATATACTCACAAAGTATTTCCTGTGATCTGGCATCTATTTACTAATAGCTTCATGTAAGAAGAGTTCAGAATTGTGATATTTTGCCAAACATTGTCACATGTAGGGTGGTACACATGACGAGAATGATGAGTTCTATTTCGGATGATTGGATCTATTAGCACTTTGATTACAATCTTTCTTAATTGCATTTAAATACAGGCAATACAGCTCTCTTGCTGATTTACACACTTTCCAGATCACCATTTCACACACACACTAGGATTCTCAGTTTTCACTAGTCATTCCTGGCATCGGATCTCAACACAGAAATTATAACAGTCTCACTGGAGTACACACTCCAAGTATTACACATAAACAAAGTCTTCAGATCACAAGTTAAATCCTGTAAGGCAGACCTCCTGTATTCTTCTGTACTCCTGGTTCCAATATGCTCTGTTCATGTGCTTCTGCTACAACATTTCTTCATCTATGATGAACTCAGAACTCAGGACTCTGTCACACACACTCACTGTCACTTCTAGTCAAAGTCAAAGTCACATTGCAACTGACAGTCAGTCAGTCAGTCAGTCAGTCAGTCAGTCAGTAGGTCTTGGTGTCGAGCCCCACCAGTTATTTATTACTGCTTNAGTCAAAGTCAAAGTCACATTGCAACTGACAGTCAGTCAGTCAGTAGGTCTCGGTGTCGAGCCCCACCAGTTATTTTTTACTGCTTGACAGTTATGGTCTTGTTTCTGTGGGGTGCCCTCTCTGATGAGAGGACAGGTCTGTCTTTTGCCAGCGCCTTCTTTCTTGGGTCTGAGTCCCTTTTGACTTGCAGCCATATTTTACTGTCCCAAATTTGAGATTTCCCATTTTATCGCCTCCTACAACTCACAGGTTCAGGGTGAAGGCATCTGACCTCACCTACACATGGGTGGTCACTTCTAGTTCCAATTCGACCTTCTTATATAGCTGCACCACGGACCCAACGGAAAACACAGCCTCTATTGTTGTAGAGGCTTATTTACCTCGCCATTGTATAGCAACAGTCATGGCGTAGACCCCATAGAAAAGAATCTACCTACTGCTGAGGTTATTTACTGAGCCGTTGCTTGGCAATATTAAAGTAATGACTTCTTATGAAAACTGTGCTAAATAAACAAGATGAAATTGTGTACAGCCAAACAAAAAAGTGTCCAGTCAAAGATTTACTGGAATCATACAATTTAGCTCTCTTTTATATTATTTCTTCCTTTCCATACATGCCCCAGGAGTCTGCAATATATTTTATTCACATGCAAGAGCCCTTTGCCTAGATTACTGGAGTAAGATCTAAATCTATTCAGTTGTGAGCATTTCTTAAAATATATAAAATATTACTAGAGAGTAAATTATAAATTTTATGTTTGTTATACACCTCGCATGTAAGGCACATTAGAATGTGCCTTGTGCCACCACAGCATCACATTTAATTTTGGTTTTGAATGGATGACATGGAGGGTGGCTGTGAAGTACACAATACATACACAAAGAGTGGCCAAAAAGGGACAATCCTTGGAAGTTGAGTGTAGTGCTAACACTCTTCAGTGCAAAATATTCTGTATTACAATACTTTCACAAAGGTCTCAAGGTTTGATAGATTTGCTCGAACTATCTAGGAACATTTGAACTGTATGACAGAATTTGGAATGATAGAAATTATTAAGGATGGGTGCTTGCAAGTCATTAGGTACTGAAGCATTGAAGTGGAATTTGTGAATATTAGAAATATAAAAGGTTAAGTTGTCTGTATTCACAGGCTTACTGCAACAATAATCACTATTTAAGACTGAAATGTTAAGGAAAAAACCAGCATTAAAGAAACAAGCACAACAGGTATTCAAGTTAGAACATAAAAGAAGAATAATAAAAATGTAAGCAAGAGTATCAGGTTATAGTGGTCTGTGGTTATGTGAAAGTTTTGTCAACAGATGTGTTTATTATAAAAATAAACAAGTTAGCTCAAGCAATAAACTATGAATAATTAAATACATAACACAAAATTCTTCAGTATAAATTATAGTTTTATAAGGAGTTAGTTTATATCAAATTTAGAATATCTTCATTTCCTTATTTCTTACTTTAATGTTGTGCCTAATTTATATTAAAGAGTTTGCTTCCTGACACTGTTTTTGCTACAGGTGCACCCCCAGTACAGTCCCACAGACTTCCGCAATGATGTTGCCCTTGTGAAACTGGACAAGGCAGTGGTTTTCAAGCCGCACATCATCCCTGTGTGCTTGCCTGACACCAGCGTGAAGCTTGTGGGCAAGACTGCCACGGTAGCAGGCTGGGGCAGGACTCGCCATGGTGAGTCAACTCAGTTTGTTTCAACCTGTAAATACACTTCATTACTTTTCCTGAGTAAAAATTGGAATTGAGTTACAGCATTTGTGAGAGATTAGAAGTTTCATTAAAGAATCAAGAAATACAGTAACACTGTGGATTTGTTGCACAAAACATGCACTTGTAATGAATATGAAAACAAAGTTCACACAGTATATCTCCATTCCTGCTCATATTTCATATGCCTCCCAGTTTAGGGAGGTTTGTATTGTATGCAAAAATATCCGCTGTCTGCATCACTCTGATTTTCACCTCTTTTGAGCACAACCCTATGGGCCATCACAGCCTCGTACAGGGATGGCTTTACTTAGTTTACTTACTTTATGTGTATTTCATTTAATCAGTCAACAGGATGTGATCATGAGTATGTCTGTCTACCTGCCTGTCTGCCTGTCTATCAGTCTGTCTGTATGTTTCTTCCCACAAACAACTGGAGTGATTTTGTCTGGTTTCGGTCCAATAAAATTTCTATATGATGCTTAAAACAGATTACTGGTTTTCTAAAAAATTCGTACATGTACATATATGCTACATGTCCCATCCATTTCTTCTTCCTTATTTAAGTATGTTAACAGTATAAAGTACAAATCATGAAGTTCTTCATAATGTTACTTTCACCATCCTCTTCTTATTTCCTATTTTGCTATGTGTTACATTAAATCCAGGGGAAAAATAAGGGGGCATCTGGTGAACTCAGTGTACAGACCAATATTACTTCATGTCTACTTCAAATATATAGCTGAGAAACCAGTACTGGGCTAAATTTCTTCAGGGTTTTTCTGTGTCAGTTCTCAGCAATTTCCCAATTTCAAATTGTTATCATCCTCAGCATGAAGAACAGTACTGTTAAATAACCTACGAGATCTTCTTCAAAATGGACATATATGTGTTTTTACAGAAAGCTACTAACTTTAACATACTTATAGGGGTGTCAACTGTACCAACTGTACTACAAGAGGTGGATGTTGAGGTGATATCCAACGATCGATGTCAACGCTGGTTTCGAGCTGCTGGTCGGCGGGAAACAATACATGACGTATTCCTGTGTGCAGGCTTTAAGGAAGGTGGTAGAGACAGCTGTCAGGTGAATTCCCCTTTCCTGTTTCCTGCTTTTCTGTCACTTACAGATGTAGTGTTACCAAACTGGAATTATAAACTCAAGTTCACTATCTTTATTTCATATTCTAAACAAACATCATTAATAAAAGCTTCTTATTTCTCAAAGACCTATCACACTATAATATATCAGGACTCTCTGTCACACAGCCATGGTGTTACTCCATCCTTACAAGTATACATGCCTGCCATTTGGGGTGTACTTTTACAGGTAGACAATTAGGTGTGAAACTCTGGTAGCTTACAATGGCATGACATCCTTACTGAGCTTTGTGAAAACCATCAATTGAATTAAATTATTTATATACATGCTAACACACATGACCATGATGATGGTATACATTTACCATAAGGGAAGATGGCCTAAGATCATAGTCCTTGCAGGCAGTGCTCCTCTTTTCTCTTACTAGGTCGGAGATAATTTAGGACTTATATAAGTTGAAAATTATACATAATTTATAATTTCAATCTTTAATTGCCATAAGGGATATTCTGTTGCTGGAGGTGAAATGTTATACAATGAAAGTTAAATAGACAACGTGAGAGGAAGCGAGTGAACATGAATTTGAGAGAAGTAAACAAAGTTTTCAAGCTACTTGACCCAAAGACACCTGCAAATGAATACACTTATTTCATATTGTTTACTTATGGAGAAGTTAAACACTTGCTATTTTCTAATCCTATGATACAGACAATTTTCTCTGTGTGCGAGCATGTGTGTATGTTGTTTGACAAGTTTTATATTCAGTGCCAGTTGCACACTTATGAATACTCTGAAACGCTGATGTATGTATGTATGTATATATGTACCCATAATATTCTGAATGACTTCCTGTGACACAATATTGTTAATGACTGATGTACAATGTTTTGATTGCATGTTTAAGCGCTCTTCCAGCTCAAGTACTTGAAAAGAATTCTGGAAAAAAAATATTGTTCCTTACTTTGAAATGCAGAAACTACAAATGATTCATTCCACTTCAAAACACTATATGTTCCAAAACATTATACATATAAATATGACTGATACATGAAAAGAACCGCAAACTCACCAAGATTGCATTGTGATACATCAGTTGGCAGCATTAGTGCAGTGCCTCACAAAATGGCGACAAGCCGGAGAGGAGTTTCTGTGTGTCTTAATATACGAGATGTTAGTCTGTTATTGCAGTGCAGCATGCATTCAGAGCAAAGTACAGAAAAGAACTACCATGTAAACAGAGCATTCTGAGGTGGTGTCAGCGGTTTAAGGATACTGGTTGTCTGTGTAAACGGAAAAGCACAGGGCGACACATATGGTGTTTTGAAATGGAATGAATCATTTGTAGTAACCCTGTATTTGTTCTTCAGTCCACCAATTGCTTCACAATCATCCTCACCTATCATCTGGGCTGGTACAATAGGCCAGAGGTGGCCGCAGTACAATGGACTTAATCCCACCCCACTAGCAATAAAAAAACCCTGCATTTTCGTCTTGTACCTTACTGACATTTGTTTGAAGTTTAAAAAATTCCTAATGCCTCAGTAAGTCATATGGTATATGGGTGCATTGCAACTGTCACATATTTTTATAGTTGTTTGCTAGTTGTTGTAACATTAATTGATTAAAAATTACATTTGCATGTGTGATATTATAGGATAATATCTAGGCTTACAGTACAAATGGAACCAGCTAAAATTGCTTTGATTTATCTATAAAATATGTGTACATACTGTCACAAATTTTCAAGGACATACAAACTTAGATAAAATTATGGTCTCCTTGCATGCTCTGTGTCTACCCATTACAGTTCTTTGATATCTAGCAATAGCATCTTCTTGTTAAAGAATTTTTCTTATACTGCAACAATTCTGCATTTTTCATTAAAAAATTCTGCTGCCAGTTGTATTGTTTTCTAACACACAAATTCCATATCATATAGAAAACAATTACAGTTATTTATGTGTGCAAACTAACAAGATTTCCTACAATTATCGAGTCTCTGGACAATATACATTATCTTGTTTTTTTATTTAAAACAACGTTTTGGAGACTGGATTCTGTCTCCAAGACGTTGTGTTTTAGATAAAAACAGGACAATGGATAACGTTCAAGAACTCTATAATTGTATTAACACACTATTGTCATGGACTTTTAGATCTTATTAAAATAGTTTTCATTGATCCAAAACCAGATGAGTTGTTGCAGTTAAGTGTTAAGAGAAGGCAGATATTATTATATGTTGTCAAAAAGTAAAGACCATTTAATTTTTTTTATTGCTAGTGGGGTGGGACTAAGTCCCTTGTACTGCAGCCACTTCTGCCCTATTGTACCAGCCTCGGATGATAGGTGAGGGTAATTGTGGAGCAATTGGTGGAATGAAGATTGGCAGGGGAAACCAAAGTACTCAGAGAAAACCTGCCCCAGCGCCACTTTGTCCATCACAAATCCCACTTGACCAGACCTGGGATCGAACCCAGGCCACTGCAGTGGGAAGCCAGCGACTAACTGCTTGAGCCTGCCATTTTAATTTACACTGAAGTGATACTGGTAGAAGTGAAAGAAAGTAATTTTGCTTGTAAACAATGTTAACCTTCCCTCAATTGCATCCAGTTGATTTTTACTGTCTTTCAAATGGTGTTATTGCTGTAATATTTTTAACATAGGTGCTCCAGTAATAGAATTTACTCAGAAAAAATCATGATATGATCCAGCTTGTGGTCCAAGAATGTGAAAACTAGTAAATTTATCAAAAAATTACATTACAGTATGGTGATAACTGTATGAAAAAGAGAGGGTGCAAAGATCAAAGAGAGTATGGATGAGCATCGTTGATGATTTACGTTCTGGGCAATAATCAACTCTAGCATCTGTTTTGGTTAAGGAGCAGGTCAGCTCAGTCCAGTCAGAACAACTGAAAACACAGCAGTGATGAAATTGGATCCAAAATGAACATCGAAGGAAGCAGGACAACACTGAATTATGCTCCACCAGAAATACTGTATTCTGACAGAATCAGGAAATTTGTAGAACATTTAACCAAATGCATTGGAAATCAGACTAGTTACAGAGAAAGATCAAATATGATTAGCTTTTTTCATTCATCAGTAATCTGTCATATGATAGGTCCTCAATCTCTTCCAGCTCCTCCACTTAATGTGATCTAGAGCTTTCTCCCTCAAATAAAAATATCCTCTTCTGTCCCCAAAGTCATCCAGCATCTTCTTACATCTTTTTCCTCGTCTTCTGGTCGCATACATGGTATCTCTGTTTTTGGAAAGAGACTATCCAGGAAAAGTGATAATGTGGTAGTTTTTCCATTTGCTTTCCACATCGCAGTACAACAGCCGCTCAAACCACTCTGGTCACGCCTGTTGCTATACGAACTTGAACCATCTCGAACATCATTTGCTCTGTGCTTCAAGTCGCTGCTGATGACGCTGCTTCTGGCATCAGTTTTTGGTTTTTGGTGTATCTCTTTGTCTGATGCCTACTGTTTGATTATTTTGTCAAAGCTTGTAATAAAAATTTTCACTTTTTTTTATTAACATCACAGAATATTATCAAACACTAAAGATATTTTTATCATAAGATACTATGTGTTTTGAGCATGGTATCTGATTCGTAATTGATATATTAGTTTTCAGGTGTACATTTATTTACCTTAATTTCTACTTTTAGGGTGACTCTGGAGGACCATTGACAACAACAATGGATGGACACAAAGTTCTGATTGGACTAGTATCCTGGGGAATTGGTTGTGGGAGAGAACACCTACCAGGAGTATACACCAACATCCAGAAATTTGTACCATGGATAGATAAGGTCATGGTTTAACAGACGAAGATTATGAAAATTGTTCCAAAACTAAAGTCTGAAGCAGTAAGCGAATATTTCTGTAGTTTCTGCCTCAGTGGATTTTTTTCCATAAACCAAAGCATGCGCTGTAGGACAAACAGGGTTGTGCCATTTGAATACACCTAATGACGTGTCATATAATACTGAGCTTTATTCTATCTAAAGTTACTGAGTCTGTGTTTTATCAGCAAGTCCTTGTATGACATGTCAATTTTATTAAATTCAGAATGTTCCTTGAGGGAAGTTTAAAAATTCTCAAAAGGTTGGTAACAGTGACAGATTTATCATACCATAATTATGTTGGATACTATCCATTGTCTAAGGAATATTTAATACAAATGATGATGTGGGAGTTGATGCTGCTGTTATCTCAAGATAACTGGTTATTTATTCTAATGACATAAATTTTGTATTATTTTTATTTACAATATTAGTGACAGAAATAACTTCTAGCTGCCCTAGTGGTCTATTGACAAACATAAACACATAGTATTCAAAGAATTCTGGATTTTATCCTGATCAGTAATGTAAATATAAAATATAATCATAATAAAATAAAATTCACCTGAAGACAGGAATGGAGTAAACTCCTAAATGTCATGCATATTGAACCTCAGAAAATGGTTTTGTGAAGAGAAAATTGTTTGTTTATGGTTAAATTTAATGATATTATCTGTGACTCAAACTGCTCAATGTCAAATGACTCAAGGAAAGTGAACGATGATCAGGAAAGGACGCGAAAAGAATCAAGAGGTCACAATATAATTTAAAGCACTGCCATGTCATTCACCTGGGGTAGAGTGAAGAAAACCATAAAAACCTCAGTCAGGATAGTCAGTGTATTGGGTTGAGATTTGAATCAGGTATCTCCCTACTTCATATAAGAAGAGAACTGCTGAGTTTTCTGGTTCATCATTTGAAGAGACTTGTTAGAATTCACTGAATCCTGGATATCCTGTTGGATTATTGAATTTGTTACAAACAGCAGACAAGAAAATCACAGGAAGAGGGTCTGGGCTGTATGGGAGATATAAACACAACTGTTAACCTGTGATTCTTATGGATACAGTGGGCACTGGTGCCTGTCCACACAGCACATCCCAGTGTAAAAAGGTGGACCTGAAATACTCATGGACACAGTGGCCAAAGGTGCCTGTCCACACTTCACTTCAACATATCCTGAGGTGCAAATACAGACCTGTGATACTTCCAGACCACAGTGGACTAAGGTGGCAGTTCACATCCTGTGGTACAACTGTGGCTTTGTGGCACTTGTAGACACAGTAGCCAAAATTCTCATTCAACACAGCATATCCTTCAGTCACTGTCAAAGTTTTCAACACAATCTGCACCAGTCTAGATTTTTGTGTGAACATGAGCACGCGTGCGTGGGCATGTGTGTGTGTATGAGAAGGGGAGAGAGAGAGAGAGAGTATGCACATATGTGGAAACCTGCATTTTCATGCACCAACAGCATCCTCTGATGATGTTTCTAGTGTATCACAATGTTGTGTACCTGTCCTACCTTAGTACTGAATATCTTTTGAATTTTCTGCACGACAGGTTTATCACAGTAAGGCATGTAACTGCTGTGTCATTTTAATGTTGAACAACTGACACTCTTAACAAATAATATCTGATCATGCAGTCTATTTGAACACATCCTGTGAACATATTTCTTCTGAAGAAACTTCCTGTACAAATAAATGAATTGTCAATATGGAGTGTAACTCATTTAAGTCCATACTGTTGAATTTTTTCTGAATCATTCTAGTAACTTACCCCCCACTGCAGACAAGTTCTGATCCTCACACTTAATAGCTCATTCAATTCAGCATCAATCAGTAATAATAATATTGTAGAGACTATCCAAGTACTTGTGAAAAATACCTTCGTAAAACTTTGCTGGAATATGCAGGGAAGAAAGTGGATATAGACTGGATTACCCATTTTTTTCGCACTGGGGGTGGGGGGTGGGGGTGGAGTCCAGCTGGGTCCACTCGGCACGTCGGCCACTGATTGACCTGTTGTACCTGCCCCCGGGTGATCATGATGGAGAATTTAGTGCAATGAAGACTGGCAGGGGAAACCGAAGTACTCTGAGAAAACCTGCCCCAGCACCAATTTGTCCGCCACAAATCCCACTTGACCAGACTCGGGCTCGAACCTGGTATGCCGTGGTGGGAAGCAAGCGACTAACCACTTGAGCTATAGTGCGGCCTTTAGGATTACCCATAGTAGTGTTTGGTGAGATGACAGCATTACCTACGTTCCTTTACATTCCCTTCTGAAATCATTGTTACCCAACATTCTGAGGGACACTATCAGTGGTGCATTTAGAAGTGACCAAGTAACTTGTGGACCTACTGAAAAACTTAGTGATGTGTAAACATAAATACATATGCAAATATGTGGAGCTGAAAAGACAGGAATGCAAATAAATATATTTGAGCTGCAATGCTGCAAAGCATGTAGGCTGGATCACAGTTGACACTTCTACAGCAGTGAGTTCTCATTCACACCGCTCCAAGTATACAGATTATTTATGTGGATAATGATGGTTGTCTGTGGCTGATAGAAATATTTATCCTCCTCCAATATTTGTTTACATCTGCCTTACATCTTGCAATGTGTGCTCTGGCTGAAATGAAATAATTTCACCCAGGCCAAGGACACAAATTCCACCATAAATCACCAATGTATTACATAAAGGTAAATTCATGGCTTAATCCCTGACACATGTTAAATTTTCAGTTAGTGAGATGTATTTTTATTCCAGAATCTCTTGTGGAGAATTATTTCCAATTGCAACTTTTTCTTTTTTGATAATGGTCCACAGCATTCCATCCCTTAAATAAGAACTTCCTGACACAATCATGAAGGTGGTGATTGTAAAGAGACCTATCAAGTGTCCCTCATATGATCCTGTGATATGAGCACATCATCTTTGTGCACAGAATTGTGACAGAGACATGTAAAATTATGATTGATTGAAGCACATTCACATGAGCTTGTAACAGGCAGTGCTTGGGAACTGAGATTACTTGCTGTATCTATTGCCTATCTTTCACAAACACAGGACTGGGCTTTAACTGACTAGTAGCTCAGTGGTGTGTATAACAGGCATTTGTATTCATGAAGTCAAATTTTGACTGCTTTTGTTTCACTGCTCTGAGTTGGATCAAGAAATATACTGATATAGAAAATGAGCTACAATTTTCCGAGTAAGAATTGCTTTCCACTTTTCGTGTACTAAATTAATGCTCTAGAATTCTAGTGGGAGACTGAGAATGTTACTAATGTGAGAAATGTGCAGAAAACGTCAAACATTTTTATATTTTTAAAATAATAAATTACAAAATGAATTTCTTTCAGTCTTTGAGAAATTATATTCATTGTCAAATGTATCATGTTCAAAACTTTCTATTGCCAGTCTACAAGCGTAATATACATGTCTCAATATCATGTAGTAATATCTGAACAATATTTGAGGTTCTCATGGCAGTGACTATGGCGATTACTGTCTTCTGTAACATGACCCATGAAATCTGGTTGAGAGTTACTGACATAGCAGAGGAACCAGCTGCCTCCTTCCTTGGGATAAAAGTGTTTGTTCCCCTGAAATATCAGTAACTATCTACCAGATAATGCATTATCACTTCAAAGAAGAGAGTAATCTGCAATATATTTGAATTTGAATATCTGATGATAAAGAGCTGTCTTTTTAATCTCTTAATGTTAACTTATGAAATGCAGTATTTAGACAGCACTTTTTTGAATATATTATTTGTAATGGAAACAATGTTGAAGCACAGATGAGCAGTGAATTCAATGCTCATATTTGTGAAATTTTTTAATTTATAATTGTTAAAAATTTTAGCATTATGATATTTAATAAGGAAAATTTCTAACTACTTGCCTGAAACAATCTAAAATCTTATGAGTAACCAATGAGAGGGTTTTAGAAATTAATTTTACCCTTTTGAATAATATGAATGTGACAATATCAGTTACATACTGTTGTCTTAAAATTATCTATATTATTCCATCTAAATATCAGAAATATTTGCCAGTATGAAATTGTCACAAAACATTCTGGGAGAGCAAATCGTTACAAATATACATATGAAAATTAAGGTTCTAGTTTCTTCCATGATATGTATGCAGTCTTGTAGTGCACTCAATTTCACCTGTTACTTCACGACATGTTTCGGCAACATAGTGCCATCAACACTCGCAGCCAAAAAGGGAGCACACATCACAAGAAACGGTTTACACAGAATACAAGAAAAACGACCCCCATAGTGGAAGAACCATATGCGAGTTTTAATTAAGACACATAAGATGAATAATCTTAACAAGTTTTAGTGTATAAAAATTTATTATAGTTGACGAATATGTAATTTTTAAACACTTTTTAAATAATTTTACAAAAACATATAATGGCAAGCAATGCAATAGCTTAGCATAATTAAAACACCTGATGATGGCACTATGTGGCTGAAACATGTCGTGAAGTAACAGGCCACTGCATACATATCGTGGATGAAAATCAGTGCAACAGGACGCTAAAATACAACATTCTAGTTTCTTTATTTACTGCTTACGTTTATGAAGCCTGCAATTTTAAAGGTTTTCATTTCTTTCTTCAAGGAAAATTCTTTCACATGGGAACCTACAAGAGAAACAAGTTTTCTGAAAATTATCTAGCTTACTGACAGAAGTCTGAACAGATTTCTCAAAATTTTAATGTGATAAGACAGTCAGGATGTCACCAAACACCATGAAACCCTTTCAAGGTCCCAAGGCCAGTATTAGAAGTGGTGGTAGGGTTGTTTGGATATTTTTCATTTTGTTCTCCTTAGAAAATTGGTAGGAACAACACTGTCTCTGAGTACTACACAAAAAATATTAAAATATACCTATAACACAAATGAAACAACATGGCATTTAACATTCTTCATAAGAACATGAAGGCCTTTTGTTTGCTTCAAACAGATGTTATGCAAATTTTACCAAAAGAAGGTATTATATGTAGAACCCAGATAGTTTGCTAAAGTTTCAGTATACATCACACCTTACTCCCATACCATATCTCACCATGACTGGTGAAATCTGCAGAGACAGAATGTGTACCAACAGCCACACAATCAGTTTCACACAAATCTCCACAGAGACAATATTTGTAGCATACTAGGTACAAAATTAGACACATAAAAATCTCATGTACTCACACATGCGCGCATGCGCACATGCACACGCACACGCACACGCACACACACACACACACACACACATGCGCGCGCACGCACGCAAAACCATGACATGTAGTATACCAATGCAATTCTGTGTCACTCTCAATCTACAACATTTAACCACTGCAATCTTTACATTGTACAATTAATATATTGCTGTTGCATACCCAATACTTACCTTTCATATTCATTTGATCTATATCGTTGCAGCAACTAATTGCTTTTCACATCCTACATCTGCATTTCATCCCATTTTACAACATGATCTAGGCTAAAACAAATTTACAGTAATCATTATGTAAACATCGGCCAATGTACAGATTCAACAGTAGGCAGATAGAAAATGTAGTGAAATACCTGAAGATAGCCACTGCAGCCAAAACTTTAGTTAAATGAATATACAATTAGTTATTAATGTATGTTTGTTGTTTTGACAGAACTGCTGACAAATATATTACAACACTACATGATGCTCCACTAAAATATTCTTAATAACTAATTGGCCTTCTGCTGCATTTTCCAGGTACAGTCCAGTTGCTTTGGCAAAATATTTATTTATATCCAGTTTGTATCATGTTTTTTTCCAATTAGGTTATTCATCCTCAACTTAGCAATCTGTAATTCCAGACATTGGTTATAAACCTTCAATAAAGAGGATGACAGTGAAAGGTGCATTGAAAAATGCATGGAAATAAGATGTGATAAAATATTTTATGTACACAACCACAGTATGTGCCTGGAGAGAGGAAACACACAAAATCCCTCCAAATATCCAGTCTCTGGGTTAAGGATCAAGACTGGGATCTCTCGAATACAAAGAAAAAGAACAATATTTAGTAGGGGAAGTCAAAAAAGGAAGAGGATGGTGGAAAGGAAAAAAGAAAAGGGGAAGAAGATGATGCAGAGAGAGAAATAGGAGGTAGAGAAGAATCTAAGAAAATAACATATTTTTGTCCTCTTCACTCATATGTATTCATTATTCCACAGCAATGGACATTTCTGTAATGGCTCCAGTCAGTCCATACTGAAGTCAATTCTTTCACATTTTTAATTTTTACATGAATTTTGGGAAGATGTAAAAACAAGGAAATATACAGATTATCCAAAATCTTTCTTAGAAAACTACAATCTTCCTTGTCCTACATAACTGTATATGAGCGAAGAAGGGGAAATGAAAACATGATTACAGGTTATGCTTTATTTAATTTAAATAAATATATTTTGATCGTATTTAGATCCTTACAATAAATAAAATAAATTAACACCAGAAGTCATGGCTCCATCCACACAGCTCAAGAATTGTCATGGTTCATAAATAGCCTTTTCTTAGTAGCAGTAGCCTCAGATCTGTAGGTGACACCACCAAAACCACTTCATCACATTAATACTTGCAGTGTTCTATAGAATGTATCAGGTACTGCATACAAACACTTGCCATAAAGAGACTAACAATGTTCATGGAAACCCACAATAAGATCACTTCATGAAGAGACCACAAGGAAGCCTTATATCAGAATTTGGAACCTGAGATAAAGTTCAGGACCTAAGCTACTGCACACATCTGTCAAAGTCAGTTGTAACTGAAATCAACACGATGACAGAAACAGCCACTTGTAAATGGAAGAGCAAGCATAAAGAATTCAGAGGTAGAATGCAACTGGAAAAAAATAAAAACTAATCCACTTGACCATTATAGCACACATAAAATTTCATAGAGGCAAATTGCTTTCTTGCAGTGATCAAATCAAAATAGAAATTCATGAATATGAATATTGCAGAATGAACACAGTATTGTGTTCTGTTTTCTATCCCAGTGAAGGTGAGAAACAGGATAGATCAGTTTGAGTTATTTCATTCAGGTCCGTCACACTAACAATATTATAATAGGTTAATTAATTCCGTCCGGAGTGACTGATGTTTTTTCTTTTTAATCTTTTATTCTTTACATTTTTTGGTCCTATAGACCATCTTCAGAAGGCTATCAACATAGAAACCTTCAGGGAGAGGAAATACAAGGGACATGAACCAATTTGTTTTAAAAAGTTTAACAAAAAAAACTTTTTTAAACATACTAACTGTAATAAATATTTTAACACATTGGTACAAGCCTCTGTAGTTGTTAAAACAGTAGATTTGTACTTTGTACTGGGGCATGCGGTAGTGTAGCTGCTTGAGGCACCATGCTACAGGCCGGAGGGTCGCGGGTTCAAGTCCTGATAAGGTCACTGGATTTTTTTTCATTTGACCTAATCCTTCCAGCTGCACTATGGCCCTGGGGTTGACTCAGCCTCTAGCAGAAATGAGTACCAGGAATTAATTAAATAATTTTCCTGGGGAGTAAAGGGCGGCCGGTGCATAAGGCTGACAACCTTACTGCCATCTTTCAGCTGATTGTCTAGATAATGTGGGACCCTCAACATCTCACAACCCTATTGGCCTTCATGGCCTGTTACAGGGATAGCTTTACTTTTTTTTTTTTACTTTGTATTTTGATGACATTGTATGCATACATTAATGTTCACAAAACATATTCTAATAGTGGTATCTAATTGTATTGATATCCTTCTGAATATGGTCTATAGGACTGAAACATGTAAAGGGTAAAAGATTAAAAAGAAAAAAATTTCATCAGTCACACTGGATGGAATTAATTAATCTTTTGTAGGATAGATCAGAACAGACCCAAATTAACATAAAGTGCAAACATTCTATGAGATTCTATTTCAAATTGTGATTATAAGAGGCAAATATGCTGAGAGAATTCAATCAAGCATATGACATACCTAAATTAAATTTAAAATAGAGCATGACATCACACTTAGAAACTGAGGTTAAGGATGTTCCCTTTGCAATTTCTTAATTTCTTTTGTTTTAAAAATAATTTTAAGTATGTACCAAATGTTTGGAAACAATGACACATAAACTAAGAATTAATATGATTTTAGACTTTGACTGTCATCAGGTATTCTAAATATTAGAGAACAGAACGTTTCAGAAAATAAATCTGATTCATTCCTTAGGTGAGTGGGGAGACACCTACTCTGTTGGGTCCCTTAGAAACAGCTAACCTCAATCTAGTATTTAGAATACCAGATGTTGGACAAAGTCCAAAAACCCAGTAATTCTGAGTGTTATACACCATCAACAGAACACTTTAGAATCTACTAATATCACATAAAATTGTCACAAATGAGGTTAAAATCATAACAAACAGTCATGTAGCAATGCATTTCATAGATCCTGTATTGATCTGAGCATAATAAATGAATTAATTTGTTAATAGACCAACAAGTTTGGCATTTTCATTTTCTTTAACAAATAGGTGCAGAGTAATCATTTAAAACATTTAATTACAATGATACAGCATTCAGCTAGGTTCTGATTGCCACAATATTGGAAACATTTCAAAATCACAGTAATGCAGTACAAGTAACATTAGATGTTTATAAATAAATTCACTATTTGCAAGAAGTGAAATAGCCCAGTACCAACAAGGAGGCAATTAAAATTGTATACAGCGAGCATATGTGTATCAGCTTTTGTCTGGATGCAATACAAACCTTGATGGGTAAAAAAATGAGCAATAATAAAGCTGGGATAGATGTGGTCTTTCAAGCACATAACTTAGAAAACAGAAGATAATGAATATTACATCAGAAGTATGTAGAAGCATTTACCAGTGAACCAGTTTTTCTGGAAATGTTTTCAATCCATCTACTGTCATTCTATTGATCCGGCACTGATTCAGCTTTAAGATGGAAGGATTCATGGCAGTTTCAAGAGAATCATTTCCTTGTAATCATGGCAGGTCATAACTAACTCGATTGATTCAGTGTTTTATCAAACAAATGTACATGCTACCTTCTATAATTGAGATGATCATTATAGCTTCCTAATGGTTTTGTACTCATTTGCATATTTAATGACAAAATATTTCTTGAAAACTGAACAGTTGTCTCTACAAACGTGGTAGTCAAATTTCAACCTTACTTAAATCAGGACAAATTTTTAATAGCTATTCAGTCCCTAGACAGGTCTTGCAGAATTCTGTAACTAATCCAGCTCCCTTCAGCTACATCAAAAGGCATTTATTTCAGTAAGCTTCTTACAATCATCTGCAGAAAGAATGTATCCCTTCTCAGAAAGCTGCAGAATTTGAAGTTCAAATCTATGAAGACAGACAACAAGTGTATTGGCATATTTGAAAATATAAATATGACCAGTGGCATGTTGCTTTTAGAAGACAGACAAAACAAAGTTATATCTATGCAGAAGGCAAACTAGAATCTACCTTCCAGTATGAGAATTTGAAAATGTGTGAATGTTCAAACCTTTTGTTTGCTGTCAAAAACAAGTAACAGAAAATTCTGGTGCTTTGTCAAATTAAAGCAGATTTCACTTTCAATATGGGGAAAAAATATTGGTGCTGTGGCTAGATAAACCATAAAAGCTTGCCTGATATACGAGTACACAAATCTTTCTTGAATTAAGTAATAAGGTATTGTTTATATACATCAAAATCACTGCAGTTACACAAAAGCACTTGATAGTAAAGATTAAGAAGAATAAGTGGCATCATTACACTGAAACTGACAAAATTAGAAAGTTGCAATCCAGGAAGACATAATCTACCACAACAATTTGAAGCAGATATATCCAGTCAGCATTATATAATTTGATAATGCAAAATGTAATTTCAAAGAAATCATGTTCACCAAAAATGGATACAGTACTACTTGGAAGTAAATACTGAGATGTGTGAAAATAATTCAATCATAACATCACTTAAGATCAATAATCCCATGTTTTGAGATTTAATTTTGTTCTGCATGTAAGTAGTCCTATTATCCAGATCTCAATTCATTTTACACCAGTAATAGCATGCAACCAGGGTTTATAGAAAGTGGTGCGCATATAAACACCAGGCAAATATGGGGCAGCACACTTAATTCCATGTGACACAGTCCCGACCAGCACCCAGTGGCCATCTTCTCTCTGCAACATCAGAGGGCCACCACTGTCACCCTGTAAGAAAACATGCCTTAGATTTGTGCTTATATGTTATGAGAATCAAGAATGAAAGTGTTTGTACTAACATATTATAGTTGTCAAAAGCATGCTAGTGTGTTACAAGAGTCAATTACATGCCAAAAAAATGCATAATAAACATGTCTAGAGGATTTGTCAAGAGCTCACAGTCAGACTCTAGATTAAAATTTATTTTGTTACCAAAATGCAGTAAGTTAGGAACACAGCTGAAACCTCATGAATTAAAGAATTCAGTAGAAGTACAGCATATGTTTCAGGTCCCCTTTGTTACATTATTTTCCATGGTGGCCTGTGATCCCATACAGCTCTTTCTTTTAAATTTACAAGGTTTGGTTTGATTAGACTTGGACTGTCTTAGTTTCATCAGATTCTTAGATAAAGCTATTATCCGAACTTAATCGAACATGCTCAGAAAGATTATGCAGATTCACAAAATACTAGGTAAGTAGGGTTTTTTTTATTGCTAGTGGGGTGGGACTAAGTCTCTTGTACTGTGGCCACTTCTGGCCTATTGTACCAGCCCCAGATGATAGGTGAGGGTGATTGTGGAGCAATTGGTGGAATGAAGATGGGCAGGGGAAACCGAAGTACTCAGAGAAAACCTGCCCCAGCGCCACTTTTTCCACCACAAATCCCACTTGACCAGACCCGGGATCGAACCCGGGCTGCTGCGGTGGAAAGCCAGCGACTAACCACTTGAGGTATGGCGCGGCCTTGGATAAGTAGGTTAATGGGGAGAATATAACTAAATGAGCCAGGAATTGCCAACAACATGCTAACACACCTTGGATGTAAGAAAATTATATTTTTTACATCTGGCACATTATATGTATCAGGAAACTATGTCTAAGATACACTGCTGTATTTCATATATCAGGAACATCCTTAGTCAAGAGAGTCTAAAAGCAATGATTTGCACCTCACAGGAGTCCTTCTGCCCATTGGCATAGCCTGCACAGAGGAAACTGTTGAGGATAACCTTGGAATGTCCTGCAGTGTGGAACATTTCTTGGCACACACTGTTCTCTATCACAGGCACCTGCACCTCTTGCAGTAGGTTTGGCACTCCACCTCCTGAAACAAAACTCATTTGTACAGTTCAGAAGAAGCACAATTCCTGCATCCTAAGTCTATCAATGGATCAATCTTTGTGGAAATCTGAATATCTATCTTGCTTATATTCAATTCACTGTTATCAAAAGTACCAGTGTGATGGTTATGCAAACTGCTGAGCTAGGAATAACACTAATATCATGGTGCAATTTTACTTGAGCAGATGTGTGGTATATTTTGTACATCACTTTGCGTTTAGAGAATAACTTGTGAATGTGTAAAAACTGTTTGTTTATTTGTATAAAAACTGTTTCAATTTCCATTAAACATGATCACAATAGTTATTTTATGATCAATGAATAGTACGGTATAGTGAGTTCTCAACTTACATGGACTTGAGTATCACAAATCTATAGATACAGGGATACAAAAGTACATTTCATTCTGTTTAAACAATTGAGGTACTTTAACTTATATGATTGTTAGTACCAGACATAGAGTTTATTTTTATAATACTTTATAATATATGTTACAATGACCTTTTTTGTACATAATGTTTAACTTTAGCTGTACAATGAAAATAATGTATATGTAAAAAAATATGGCATTATAAACACTGGTGTATGACTTACACAGAAACTTTCAAAATGAATTAACCTTGTAAGTTGGGAACTTAGGGTACAAGGCCTTTAGTCTTTAATTGTCGTATGGTAGTAAAAGTACGAGTAACATAAGCTTCCATTAAGGCAGTGTTTGTATAGAATGTGAAACAACTGGTCAGTTACCTGGCATCTACATTTACTTTTCCACTGTGTGGTGGTACCAAATGAATGTGTTGGAAAATGAGAATTTTAGTTCGGAGTTAGGTCACAAACACATGTATTTTTATTCTTTGAATCTGTGCAGCAGTGGTCGATTCAAATACTAATTACATGTCAGCCTTTGTCCATTATTTTAAGTATATTTTATTTAGGCCTACATGGCGTTTTGAGTATTGGCACCATGTTGTATTTATGGAATATTCTCCATTCCCTATTTATCTCACAAAAAATCCTTCAAAATCTGTCTAAGGTTAAGAGACTGATCTCCACATGTTTTGGAAAATATTGCCTTGGCCAATATTCAGAGTCATGGTAATACAATTTGCAAAGCAACAACCTTTACATGTAAATTTTAATGTGAAATTCAAATGTACTCGTATGTAAACAAACAAAATTCTATGGACTAAATCATGTATTACAGCCCTTACATCTGGCACGTAGCACAATGCGTATACCTAACTGTGGAAACCAAGTGTGGGGCGNTTAGCGCGCGTGATGGTGAAAAGTGATGTGAAGAGCGAGCGTTGCAGAAATGCGTGATAATGTGGGATGTTCCCACATCACTCCCCCCCTTGCGAGAAGTGATGTTGCTGCTTGCGAAGAGTATGCTGCGTCTATGCTGGGCCGTGATGATCCAACGTAGGCGTCTTTACTTGATGTTCACCACACGCGCTTCCAATCACGTCGGGGTCACCAATGTGGGATTGTCGTCAGTACTCCAATAGACAAACCACACGAAACTACAATTGTATATATTGAATCGTTCAATGTCAATGCACAGAACACGGAATACACGTATAATGTTCAAGTAGCATACTCATAACCATTATATCTGATATGGAGGCAATACTACTACCTAATTCCAGGGAATTAAGTTATGTTAGTATAATTACAAGAGTTTTATCTGGTACAGAGGAAATACCACCATCTAATTCCAGTGGGACTTCATCATGGTGTTGTTATATTTGGAAGCATTTCATCTGATATGGAAGTAATTCCCGTACACTAACTAACTAACTAACTAACTAACTAACTCCATGGAATGGAGTCTTTCTTCAGAAGCCATCAGTTGCGCAGGTGCTCAAGAATTTCCAAATATTTATGTAACCCGAAAGTTCATTACTGTCTTCACAAGAGCCCTCCACTGGTCCCTACCCTGAGCCAGATCAATCCATTCCATACCCCATCCTATTTCTCTAAGATCCAACTTAATGTTATCCTCCCATCTAAGTCGGTCTTCCTGGTGGTCTCTTTCCTTCTGGCTTTCCCATCAAAATCCCCATGCATGCTACATGCCCTGCCCTTCTTACTCTCCTTGACTTAATCACTCTAATTATACTTGGTGAAGAGAATAATTTATTAAGCTCCTTATTATGCAGTTTTCTCTAACACCCTATAACTTCTTCCCTCTTTGGCCGAAATATTCTCAGCGCTCTGTTCTCAAGCACACTTAGTCTGTGTTCCTATCTTAATTTTAGAGACCAAGTTTCACAATGCCAGTACACAAGTATAGAAAACCCAAGTCATAACAGTGTTCTCACAAACATTATTGCAATAAGTAGAAAATATACTTCCTAACTCCAGCAGACTGGATCATGCCTGTATGAACCATGGCGTGCTGGAAATGCCATTACCAGAATCTGAGGTAGGTTGTAAGGATGTTTTTAAGATTTGATTTTCTATTCAACCATGACAATTGAGTTGAATCATGCCCACCATATTTGAGTCGGCCCCAGCCAGTGACTGTTGCCATCCTGCCAGTGAAATCCTCCTTATCTCGTGGCATACATATGGGCACAATATGTTCATCAAATGCCACAGGTGATTCTAGTTCTAGAAGTGCCAGGTCATTTGCAAATGTGGCTGCGTCATATTGTCGGTGGACTATGACACGTCGTATGTTCTTCGTGACAGAGCGACGTGATTCAAGCTCCCCACTGATGTCAAACTCACCAAACACTGCCACTAGATTCGCTAGAAATCTGAACAAGGGAAGAAGTGAGTCAGGCAGAGTCCCATTTCAACACTTTTAAGTTAAATTTAACAGTGAAGATCATAGTTCCAGAATGATTTGATTATTTCATAATTTAACTACTTATGAGCAATTAGTTGATATATTGATTAATCATCATAGTAGTTTAACTAACCCTATGTTAGTAGAACACAAAGATTCAATACCAATATTACCAAACCCTATCACCTGATAAGATTCTTAGCAAGTTCTGTACCCTTTGATGCCCACACTCTTTATCCACCAGTCTGTGGATCAACCATGTCACAGCTCAGGTGGTTAGTTGCCAGCTTACCACTCAGACAGCCCAGGTTCAACCACAAGTCAGGTCATGTGGGATTTGTGGTTGACAAATTGGCACTGGGGCAGGTTTTTTCCGAATACTTCGATTTCCCCAAACAATTCACATTCTACCAAATGTCCCACACTCACCCTCATCTAATCATCTGAGGCTGGTACAATATGCCAATCAGTGGCCGACATACCAAGCGGATTCAGACTCAACCCATCCAAAAAATTAAAAAAAATATATACATTTCTCACTTGGTCCTACTTTTCACCATTTTCTGTAATCCTGTATACACTTCTTAACCTCCATATCTCAGCTTCCTTTTCAAGCCCATAGTTACCTGTATGATTTCACTATCCTAAGAGCACTAAGAGACCTGCATAAATCATATTTTTTCTTGCTATGTAATACTGCAAATTCCCAATTTATTTTATCCCTCTATGATCGAAAATTCTCAACATTTCCTTCTGAAATGTTTGTAATTTTATATAAGATTTGAGGTTTTCATGGTGGTGTAGGTTCATATTACCGTCTTCTGCTTTATGATACCATGTATTTCTTGTGTTAGTACAAATGTTTCAGTGAATGAACTGCCACCATCATCACTGACTTCTATCCTGAAACTGGTGGCAGTGTCCCCCCCTAAATAATGATAGGTACTACAAGACTACGTAGTATCATAGCCTAAAAGACCACAACATGAAAATAACAATTTTAACTCTTCCTTCAAAATCAGATATCATGTTTCATAACTATTAATATAAATAGCAAAATTATTGTTTGGTGAAATCTTTCCTGATCTCACGTATTTTAGATATCAGTTAACAGAAATGTGTTGTATTACAATAAAAGACTAATTAGTAAATTAATAATTATTTAAAATTTGAGATCTAAACATAGGAAAATGGTTATTTGTATATCATGTGGGTCTCATGTAATGAACTGCGAACATATGTTAATTTTTGAATACTTGCAATTTTACTTAAATTATACACAGACACATGAAAATGGTCTGGTAGAATTTTAAAACTATGTATCAAATAGTTACCCTAAATAGAAAATAAAAGGATGAAATGGAAGGAGCGAATAAAAGTATATATTTTAAAGAATGATTTCTACACTGCATGTTGTGGAAAATGGTAGCAACATCCAGGAGATGATTGAAGTTATTAGTCCTATAATAATAATAATAATAATAATACATGCTCAGTGATGCAAGATTTTTATCCTAATATCATTAAGAAAACCACAAAGGGAGGCAAAATGCATTCACTTGAATGGCGGGTTTCATACAGTTTGTCTTATCAGAGGTTTATATCCAGACATGGAATTGGGTGACAGACAAGTCTCTCAAAAGAAATAGGCCAAAAAAAAAAAGAAGCTTCATTTCTCTGAGAACAGGCAATAATAAAATGAGTGTTTATTAATGTAGAAACCAGAGATTTTGTTAACATCTTACTTCCTGTGAAGACAATGAACTTACCCTGGCTGACAGTGTGCGGCCGTGATAACATAGCGAGAGGTAATAAGCACACCACCACACTTGTTCTTGGTGAACAGCCCAAGCCATGTGGACTCCCGCACTAGTACCTGCCATGGCCATTCCCCAAATGTAGCACCCTTTCCACCCACAATGCGCCCGCTCTTCTGCATGAGAGGCCTCACCCCACACTCTGAAACAGAAGGGATATTAGAAAACAGTGAACACCGTATCAAATCCTGCAATAAGACATTAGCATTAAAGAGGGCTGCATAAATATATGTAAAGTTCTGACTGCGGAGCACGAGTAGTGTAGTTGGTTGCGGCACTATGCTACAAGCCGGAAGGTTGCGGGTTCAAATCCTGATGAGATCATTGGATTTTTTTCAATTGACCTAATCCTTCCAGTCGCACTATGTTCCTGGGGTCGACTCAGCCTCTAACAGAAATGAGTACTAGGAATATTCTTGGGAGTAAAGGGCGGCTGGCATGTCAGGCTGACAACCTTGCCGCCATCTTTGAGCCGATTGTCTAGAAAATGTGGGAACCTCAACATCTCACAACCCTATGGGCCTCCAAGGCCTTTTACAGGGATACCTTTACTTTTTTACTTTTTAAAGCTTTGACTGCTCTCCTACTTAAACACCTTCATGGTGTGATATTTAGGGAGAGGTGAAAGTTTACCATTTTATTTTATCCATGCCTACTGAACATAGAGTACACTGTATCACTGCAGTGATGTATTTATTAAACCAAGGAACCGATTAACATAAAGCGGTCTTGTGCCATGAGATTACCAGTTCAACTACATGGTTAGTATTAAGTTTCGCATTCTGTTTTAAAACTGAAAGTTTAACCATTAATGTTGAAATTATAAGAATTATTGAGTGTCATCTTGAAAATCTACACCTCATGTCTAAAGGAACATTAAACACATATTCTGAATTGCATTCTTGACAGAACACAAAAATACATACATTCCAACCCCACGTCTTTGCTTCAAAGGTCTTGTGGGTTTCACTAAATTATGGATACAACTATTTCAGTGTTTGCAGTCACTGAGCTAGAATTCGAAAAGTAGTTCTAGAAGCAAAACTTGTGGCATGTAGGTTCTTAATGGACACGCAGTATTGTCCCCTTTCATTCACTCACCATGCTTGTAGTCAACAGGACTAGGGGTTGTGGTAAGTTCATCATCATTATCAACAGCTGTTGTCAGTGTATAGTCCAGCAAAGTAGTGGACTCCTCTGTTGTAGTTGTCTTGGAAGGGACAGTCTCATCCTCTTGCTGCAAGAGCTGTGTTGTTGAGCTTGTTGTTGTACTTCTTTTGGTTGTTACTTTCACAGTGCTTGCAGGTCGGTATGTGGTGGACGGGCGTGATGGCCTCTGTGAACTCGGCTTCAATGTTGAAGGTCGCTGTGAAGACGGTTTTGAACTTTGTGTGGGCTTTATGCTTGTCGGCCTTGGTCGTGGTGTCTGTGAAGGTCTGGTGGAGTGTAGAGTTGGTCTAGAAGTTTGTGTGGGCCTTATGCTGGGTCTGGTTGTTTGTAAGGGTCTCACACTGGATGGTCGAGTATTTGATGAAGGCCTTGGTCTTGTCGTCTGGGACGGTCGTGTTGGTTGAGGCCTTAGAGTCTGAGTTTGCGTTGCCTGAGAAGTGCTAGGCCTACGAGTAGGGGTTGAAACTGAGACTGTGGGTTTACGTGTTGGTGTGGCCTGGACTGGCCTTTTGGAGGTAGATGGCCTCCTTGTTGTGGTAACACGGGTGGTTGTCACGTTTTTTCCACTATACAGCACTTCCTCTAAGTCCTGGAAGTTACCATCAAGAGAGAGCACGATCTTGTCAACAAAAGTCTGCAGCTTGTTATCCAGCTTGTCATCCTCCACAAATAATGGAGTGGGAATATCATCCACATTGAAGAGGTCTTCAGGATTAGGAGGAAGCACCACTGGGGGACGCTCATGTTGAGTCATGTTGAAAGACGGGTTTCTTACAGGAGGGAAGTTGGCCAGCTGGTCTAGTCCTAAGGTGGTTTCTGGATAGTCAATAGGGGTTGTTACCCATGGCCGATTGCTGACTAAAGTAGTACCTGATGTTGGTCGATTTGTCAGTCCTGGATAATTAGTCACATATACTGTATCGATGCCAGGCCTACTGGTGACCTGTGTGCTGCCTGCGGTGGGTCGAATTGTGAAAGAAGATGTTCCCGAGCCGAGCTGATGTGTGAAGTATGTTGGTACAGTACTGGGCTGATTTGTGAAATGGGCCACGCTCAAGGTGGGCCTAAAAGTAAATTGTGCTGTGGGACGGTCACTGTGTTGTGTTGTGGGTCGGTTAGTGGATTGTGTAGAGCTGGGTCGTTTAGTGATGATGGTTGAAGTTGTGCTGGAGGGCCTCTTGGTTATAAAGAACCCTGTGGACGGTTTTGCTGTAGATGGCCTCTTTGTTACCAAAGTAGGAGCCGTAGTGCTGATCTTATTGCTTGTTGTGATGATGGTAGGCCGCTTGGAGGAGGAAGTAGTTGTGGTGATGTCAGTAGAGAGCGGGCCGAGCACAATAACGGTAGGGGCGGGTCTGGAGGTACCTTGCTGGGTTGTGATTACATCATATGATGGCCCCACTACATGATGTGAGCTTGTACTGCTAGATGAAAAGCCAGGCCGTAAAGTGGTGTACGATGACGGAGTCTTGCTGTAAATTGTATCCGGTTTCCACGACGTTGATGGAGAGGGCTTGCCATTCACAGCCACCCACGTGGACAAGCCCGCGGGCGATGAGCTGTCCAGAGAGACGATCTCTGGTTCGGGCTCTGGGCCAGGATCGACCAAGCCACCGCTTGTATCATTGAGCATCGATATAATGTGGTTGATGGACTCTGGGTTCGGTCCTGAGTCAGGACGCTTGGTGATGGTAGGGACGAGCACCAGACCCTCATTGTACTCGTGTGATGGGGTGGGCCGTGGCCTGAACGATGAAGCCCATTTACTGGCCGTCGAGTAGTACGTAGGTGTCACCGACATCGTGCTTTTCTCCTCCAGGTGATACTTCGGTGTTGACGGCTCTTCATCCACGCTGTTGCTTTGCACATAACTGAACGTACTTAGCTCTGGTCGAAGCGTTGTTTCTGAACTCTGTTGAGTTGCAACTGCCATAGGACGATCAGGACCTGTGATTAAGACGGTGTCGGCATCAGGGTGGGCCGACACGTGGAGCTGAGGGTTGTTTAGAAGTTCGCTGATGGAGGAAGACTCCATGTAACTAGGCCGCTTGCTGGTTGCAACGATGGAGTTGGGATTATCGGGAGGGAATGTGGCTGTGTTATCGGATAAAAGGTCGGAGTCTGGCAGCTGGAAAGTGTGTCCTGGAGGCAGGCGACAACACGCGCCAAAGAGAAAGCCGTCCATGCAGGACCCCACTACCTCACCCTCTCGTGCTGAACATTCGTAGTTGAACATGCAGATCCCGAGCTCCGCCGAAAGGGTGTCGCTCTCGGGCCGGCACGGCTTCGGCACGATCCGGTATCCGCCAAACAGCTTGCGACCTGTACACACGAACAGCAGGCATTACCTTCAGAAAATTAGCACCAGAACTTATACTCCAGAATATTATATGGATTCCCAAGAACTGGTCTGGACTTCGTGGAGGAGAAAAAAGTACCTGCTGGTACCGGAAATCAAACATCGATTAAGATAAATTTGTTCTATAATTTGACGCCTGAACTGATTGGGTCTTACGCTTGCAGTAAATCTTCTGATAAAAGTAAAGGAAAAACACACATATAACGGTTGTAATATTTGTTCGTCCGCCAGTCCAATGTCTGCCTGTCCGACCAAATATTTCAGTATTATAGACACAGGTGAATATACTTCAAGCATCCTGAGGAAAATATAAGTTCTAAAATAAATTCGTAAAAATACGTTCTTTGCCATCCTCGTAACAAGTTTTATTTTAATCCAAGGGAAAGAACCCACGGAACTCATTGAATTGGAGGCTGACTAATTCCAATATCCGGTCTGAACGCTATGGAGAAGAGAAAACTCTTGAGTCTCCCAGGAATAAAATTCTGATTCATTAGATGTGAAGATCTAGCGTAGTTGTCATACCGACTATCCCATATATATATATATATATATATATATATATATATATATATATATATATATATAGACGTTTGGCTCATGAGTAAGCATGCAAATAAAAAAAGAACTGAATTAAAATGAATACACAGGATGTTTCTAAATTATTGTCGGGGTTTCCGTGGCTTCCAGTTTTCAAACCGGAAGTAATAAAATAAAACTGCTGAAGGAATATGAAAGAGTACTCCAAAAGTTTTATTATTCATAGAATCAATAAAGGGTTGCCAAAATAAAACCTTTTTGAGTTCATTTTCATATTCCATTAGCAGTGCTATTTTGTTGTATCCAGTCCACGGGAACCCCCGACAGTAATTCAGAATCATATTGTATATATTGTAATGGTTTCGATCAATAAGTTGCCATGCAAGTGCTCTGTAAACACGGTCCAACTCTTAACAATAGAAGAAGCTGTGTTTTCTGTAGATCCGACCGACGCGCCAGTAGACTGGCTGGCCATGTCCGTTCCTCAGCTATATAAGTAAGTGACAAAATTCGTTCAGCGCAGTTACGAGTTACGAGTCAGTCGTAAGCTGGAGGAATGAGTCCAGAAGAACTTTTAGTTCCGAGGTTCCAGCGTGATTAAAGACTGAAAGAAGTTTTCATTGTGATCTGAATTACCAATTTCTGTTTTGAGATCCGTTGCTAGGAGACAACTTGTGGAAACTGAGAATCCTAGTAAGTGTGCGACGTTGGACTTGAAAGTGTGAAAATCAGTAATAGTGTAATAATTATTTGTAGTTAGACCTGTAGGTTGTTAATATTTCTTTTTATTGCTAGTGGGGTGGGACTAAGTCCGTTGTACTGCGGCCACTTCTGGCCTATTGTACCAGCCCCAGATGACAGGTGAGAGTGATTGTGGAGCAATTGGTGGAATGAAGATTGGCAGGGGAAACCGAAGTACTCGGATAAAACCTGCCCCAGCGCCACTTTGTCCACCACAAATCCCACTTGACCAGACCCGGGATGGAACCCGGGTCGTCGCGGTGGGAAGCCAGCGACTAACCGCTTGAGCTATGGCGCGGCCAAGGGTTGTTAATAAATCCAATTACCAACCCGAATCCCTTCTTTAGTCACCCTACACGTTACAATATATACACAAATACACAGAGAAAGAGAAAGAGAAAGACAGAGAGGAGAGAGTTGTGAAAAGAGTAAATTTGATTTCGATAAACAATAATGAACTAATGGAGAATGCTGACGTTTGAGAAAGGACACTGCGAGTCTGGTAGAAATTCATCGACGTCTGGAAGGAGCGCATTCACTCCTCTTCAGGGCCGAAAAGTACACAAAGCAGAGTAAGCTAACAAGCAACCAGCAAACTTGCTACTTGCTTCTTTGCCTGCTCACTTTACTCCTCTCTCCTGAAGATGGCGGGAGTACGTAACTCCTAAACTTCGGCATACTTGGCATTACATCATGGCCTTGAGGACCTCTGTTCTCACAATATAATTACATATTTGAAATTCTGATTTGATACACATTTTTGGGATGGACAAAGAGACGATCACACAACATTAAATGCACTTACACTTATCACTCTGAGATAAGGTCACTAACTGGTCCATTTTATGGTGGCTGTTCCCGTCTCGAGTGACGTCACAAAAGAGTTTCCAGTTTGTTATATGGAAGCGTAACAAATGAGGGACAAATTTCGTAGTTGAGGGATCAGGTGCTCCGGAGGTTGAACTCGGTAATGTTGCTGAAGATAACATCTAAAAGCACACTTAATAGTTTGATGGTCACGGACATGTTCTCTACAGCCGCATGAAGTGACGCAAAGTGCTTCATATAAAGATGTATGCTACTCGTACTAATGGCACAGGGTTCGTGTGAAAGACGAAGTGAAACGAACTTCGATGGAAGCAATGGTGTCTGATTTTAAGACGTTCATGAAAGTAACTGGAGGTAAAATTGTCTCTATGTTTAACTAATTAAGCACTACGCCATGAAGATTCTTGACTTCGGCACTAGTTAGAGGTGAGTGTCAGCTTCACACCCAGGCCGTTTTACCCCCCAGGGAATATGCCCATTGTATAGGAGGCTGGGTGGGCCTCAGAGCCGGTCTGGACGACGTACAGAAGAGATAATTCTTGACCCTACCAGGACTCGAACTCCGATCCCTCGGTCTTCTAGCCCGTAGCCCTTCGTTATACTATTCCGGCTTCACAAAGTAACTGGAGCTACTATGGAAAATCATGAAGAAAACTATCAGCAGGAGATCTCTTGACAAGCTGAGCGACTATCAGCTCCTCCAGAACTTCTGTAAACCACAGAGTTAGAATGTAACCCTGCACAATTTTTAAAATGTCTTTATACAGTAGAAAGTGTTCAGGAAACTAAGTTATACAGTAAATTCAATAGATTATATATTTAAATTAGAATGAAATATTTCACTCTTAAAACCGGTAAAAAGGGCCACACATGCACGTCTGTCAGGTAGCTAAAGTAGGTTATGCGCATATATTTTTTATTGTTATTATTGCTAGTGGGGTGGGACTAAGTCCCTTGTACTGCGGCCACTTCTGGCCTATTGTACCAGAACCAGATGATACGTGAGGGTGATTGTGGAGCAATTGGTGGAATGATGATTGGCAGGGGAAACCGAAGTACTCGGAGAAAACCTATCCCGGCGCCACTTTGTCCACCACAAATCCCACTTGACCAGACCCGGGATCGAACCCGGGCCGCCGCGGTGGAAAGCCAACGACTAACAGCTTGAGCTATGGCGCGGCCTAAATGCACATAAGAAAACAAACTTCGTCAGAATAAGATTGACTTTTCTTGTGCACAACTAAAGTACACGTACTCGTATTTCTAAAATAACATCAAATGGAAACTTTGGAAATCCTCATACAAGAATAAAGCAACGGGTGAAGATATTTTACTACGAATGTATAATAATACTAGCATAACAAATATTGGGAGTTTAGAGAGAAATCTCATTTGCCACGTAAGTTATCGTACCATTAATTTCTCCTGCTTTCTCCTGTATTCGTTACCAATCCTACATGTTACTGCAAGAACGTCGAGTGTGACGTTTAAAGATATCTCACATGAATAATACGCACAATTAATCAATCGTAGATCTGATTCACATGGTATATTACACTTCAGATATTCACAACAAAATATTATTAGTAATCAAAGAACAGAAGAGATGCATTGAAACAAGAGACTCCTTGATCATTCATTAACTCTTCCATAACTTACGTCCATGCACCGTGATGGTGCTCAACAATTCGCTGCTATGGTAACTGCAAACTGCGTAATTTGAGAATGTTATCACATTGTTTCATTACTTTTTATATAGAAGGAGCGACTAATTTTTAAAGACAATTGCCTCAAAATAATTTTATGAAGTATCATTTATTACGTGCTAAAGTACTGATACAAATGTAAAATATTTTATTATTTTAGAAGTATTGAAATTAAACGCAGAAAAGTTAAATATTGTGGCGTATTTACTCCATGCAAGAATGACTGAGGCACCGAAACAGCCGTTTCTAAGTAATGCACGCAACAATGGAATAAAGGGTTATACATCCCTCTAATAGGCAGCGGCTCGGTAAACACACTTCCGAGAAGGCATAATGACGTCACACCCCAGTAGTGTTTAGCTATCACGTGACTTGTGTTTTCTGTGTGGTCTATGCTACGCAACAATAGAACTGTGTTTTCTACGTTGTCCGTGCCGCGGTTTTTTTTAACACAAGTTCGCTTGCAGCTAAAAAGAGTTTTAGTTGAGTTCTGAGGTTCCATGGTGATTGAACAAGAAATGACAAGAAGACTTAATAGTGATTTGAAGTGCTACTTTCTGTGTTGAGATCCAAAGCTAGGAGACGACTAGATGAAGCTGATAATATTAGTGTGTGTAACGGTGAACCGTAAATTGTGTAAATCAGAGATATCGCTGTATTAATTGTAATTCAGAGACATTGTAACCGAAGTGCCCGTAAACCCCCTATACATGACAATATTATACTAAACTAAGTTATTTGATTGCTTTGTACTTATGACTTTGGTGTCGAAACTTGCCGTGCAAACTGAAATAAGTCATGTGGATGTCGTGATTAGATGGTCTTGAGTTCAAACATTAAAATTGTAGTTATTTAAATTATAATTGGTGTTGTCCTGCCTCTTCGAGTGGAACTGTTAGAAGAGCGCTTGTTCCCGGAACTTCTTACAGAATTGTGCGAACTCTGCAGGCTGTACTCACTGTCAGTTGTGTCCTGGTATACTTCGATCGCCCCACAACAGTACAGCAGCAGCAACAACAAGAGTAACGCCGCCCCGGACCGCGCCATCCGTCCTGTAACAAGCAGTGCAATGTAGGTATTCTACCGGATACATTCACAGTTAACTTGTTTTGTGATCAATGGATTTGTAAGGCAGAGGAAAGGCATAAAAGACTTAAGCGAGAAGAGGCGTCCTGTTGATCAACATCCGAACTTGGGATCTTCTGACAAGGAAGTAGAGAGGCTAATATTTCAAACGTGAAGTCTGGTTGATGAAGAGGAGGAAAAGGGAAGGGGGAGACAAAATCTATGAAAATCTTTCACAAGTAACCTACAGGTCTGCTTCTTAAGCTTTCTGTGCTTCTACAGAAATTGGTGGAGCCGGGACAGCATAGTAGCAATAACGACTGGCTACGGAATGGACGACCGAGGGGTCGGAGTTCGAGTCTCGTTAGGGTCAAGTATTTTATGTCCTTACGTCGACCAGACTGGCTCTGGGGCTCATCCAGCCTCCTATCCATTGTGTACAGGGGCCTATTTCCCCGGAGGTAAAGCTGCCGGGGAGTGAAGCTGGCCACTCACCAACTAGTGCCGAGGTCAAGAAAATGTGCCTCTATACATCCACTCCCCATATGCCTTCATGAAACAGTGCTTCATTAGTTAAGCACAGGAACAACTTTCCCTTTTGCAACAATTGGTTTTAAGGAACATAAAAGAAAATTCTACTGTGAACAAAAAAAGAACAACCAGCAATATCTACAATTAATATGTTGTTGGACATTATCCATCATTTTGTCTGTTCTTAAAAAACAGTTCTGTTTCTTTTAAAAAACACAACGTTTCGGGGACTGGATTCTGTTCCCGTCTTGAAAGCCCCATACCACAGTCATCGCTCTTTCAAGATAACTTTACGAGCCAGCAAGGCCCTACTAAGGGATAGGATCCAGTTCCACCGGTTTAAGAAAGCCGCACTCAACAAACAAATCAACGACCTGAAATCATTTTTCCGGAAATCAACTAATCATTCAGACCAACTCTGCATCCTGGCTGCAGTGGAAAGCTCATACAAACATTTTCTGAAGCTGAAGGAGATCCAGATTCAAAAATTCTCAGCTCTAAAAAATCACCATCAGACCACCAGGACCCCGGAAACCATTCAGAGGTCCGAGAAATTTGTCATAAATTTATCCGACCATGTTCTTACAGAATCTGAAGAATCAATTCTCAAGAAAGGGCTGAATTTCGCAATAAATAACAGAATGTCTAACCTTGACATGGCATGTGCGGCAGAATCTGCTAAGTCCAAATTTCCCCCCGCCTTGGGTATGGAGTTCTGTTGGTGGATCCGGTGTATGTTAGCGAAAGCAAAACCTTTTTCATCTAACACGACGAGGAGGGAATCCATGGCGTTGAAATCTTTAAAAAATAATAGGCATGTACGAATTCTACAAGCTGACAAGGGAAACTGCATGGTGGTGTTGAACGAATCTACTTACAAGGAGAAGACAGCCAGCCTCCTAGATGCAAGAGTATATGAAATTTTACTCAAGGATCTTACAGCCCAAATTGAGAGGAATATACAGACACTCCTTACTAAAGATAAAACTGTCCTTCCCACAGCACTGATGAGTAAACTGACTCCCTACCACAGCAAACCTCCTCACCTCTACGGACTCCCCAAAATACCAAGCCTGGTATCCCACACAGACCAATAATTAGTTCTATTGATCGTCCTTGCTATGCATTAGCTGAATTCCTCCATAAGATCCTCAGCCCTCTATCTGGAAACACAGGTTCCTTCGTAAAGAACATTTTATAAAATCAATACAGGATATCAACCTGCAAAAAGAAGACTGCCTTGAAAGTTTTGACGTTGTTAGTGTGTTCACCAACGTACCAGTGGAAGAGGTCTTACAAATCACAAGAAATAGACTCAGAACGGATCCTTCCTTCCCAGAACGCTCACCTTCACAAGTTGAAGACGTGATGGAACTACTGGACATCTGCTTAAAAATCACATACTTCCAGTTTGAAAATACGTTCTACCAGCAAAAGGAAGGTATAGCAATGGGAAACTCACTAACTCCGGTGGTCAGTAATAATTTCATGGAATATTTTGAAGAAATAGCAATAGACACAGCTGAATACAAGCCTGCTAAATGGCTGAGATATGTCGACGACACGTTTGTGATATGGCCATATGGACCGAAAAAAGCTACAGGGATTTCTTCAACATATTAACGACATCAGGCCTACCATCAAATTCACTATGGAAGTTGAAGTTAATAATACACTTCCATTCTTGGACGTTTTGGTTATGAAACGGGTTCCAAAACTGACCACCAATTTGTACCGAAAGCCTACTCATACTGGTCGTTATCTTCACTTCAAGTCCAATCACCCACGTCACGTAAAAAGGGGAGTTGTTCATAGTTTGGTCAACAGAGCGAAGGTCATATATCAAAACCAGAAGGATTTTAGTAAAGAAATCAGAAACACAAGACAGGACCTGATGCTCAGTGAATATCCTAAAGAATTCGTAGACCCTGTATTGAAGCCATCGACAAGAAATCGTCCCTCTTCAGACAGAACGTACCGGGGCACTGTAGTCATTCCGTATGGCAAGGGTATCGCCGAGAAATTCAAACTCATCGGGAACCGTTTTCAGCTCAGAACAATCTTCAAAACGAAACATACACTCCGGGGGACATTAATGAAAACTGGACCCGTTAGAAATGGCCAGAAAAGGAAGCAGTGTGTGTATAGCATCCCTTGCGACTGCGGCAGATGTTACATCAGTGAAACTAGCAGACCCCTAGAAGTACGCATTAAGGAGCACAAATATAATATGACACAGTGTTTGCTGGAAAAATCTAAATTGGCCCAAGATGCATAAGAGGAAGACCACAAAATTCGTTGGAATGGGTAACTATCTGTTTCATGTGTTGGTACTACAAGTATTGCTTCTCTCCAGGAATGATTTCATTCTAGATACTTCTCTGGTGCAAGGCCTCATATGTGATAGCTTCACTATTTCTTAACTCTCACAGGTGGTTTGTGTTGTGCTTGTTTTATGAACCCCTTCTGAAACTGGCATAGTTGTCCGGAGATAGGGGCTAGCTCTGTCTATTGGACCCAACTGAGTAGGTTTTACCTGAAGACAAGGACAGAATCCAGTTCCCGAAACGTTGTGTTTTTTAAAAGAAACAGGACGGTATTTTAAGAACAGACAAGATGATGGATAATGTCCAACAACATATTAATTGTAACAATTTACCATCATCACAAACTTTTAGATCTTATCAGCAATATCTACTTTTACGCGTAGTTGCACTGAACAGCAACGCTCTCTTTAATTGCAGAGAATTCATACCATATCACTCTTAATGCTTACTGATATAGGAATGTTATCACAGAAATATATACATTTATTTGTTTGTAGTTTATTTTATGAAACTCAGAAAAAAAAGGTGTTTTGAAAATGTGAGACAGTTCAGATATTTGGGAACGACAATAACAGATGGAAATTTTATTCAGGAGGGTATTAAGTGTAAACTGAATCCAGGTAATGCTTGCTACCACTCAGTCCAGAACCTTTTTCTCTTCTCGTCTGCTGTCTAAAAACATAAAAATTAGAATATACAAAACTACAATTGTGCCTGTAATTCTATTCATTCATTCATCAGTAATCTGTCAGACGACAGGTCCACTCTCTCTTCCAAAAGAATTCCTCCACTTAATGCGATCTAGAGCTTTCTCCTTCAAATAAAAATATCCTCTTCTGTCCCCAAGGTCATCCAGCATCTTCTTACGTCTTCTTCCTCGTCTTCTGGTCACTTCTATCCGCCCCTCTATCTCTCACATATATGGTACCACTGTTTTTGGAAATAAACTATCCAGGAAAAGTGATAATGTGGTAGTTTTTCCATTTGCTTTCTACAGCGCAGTACAACAGCCGTTCAAACCACTCTGGTCACGCCTGTTGCTATACGAACTTGAACCATTTCGAGCATCATTTGCTCTGTGCTTCAAGTCGCTGCTGATGACGCTGCTTCCGGCATCAGTTTTTGGTGTCTCTCTTCGTCTGATGCCTACCCTTTGACCTGTCCAGCAAGGGAGGCCCTGCCAGTAGCTACGCTACTGCTGATATAGCTCTCAGGGTCCTTGGCATACTCAAACCCCCTCACCACGATAAGGTGGAGACACCAACGAGGAGGTGTGATTCTATATGGGTGTGAAACTTAGTCTCTTACATAAAGGGAGGAACACAGACTGAGGGTGTTTGAGAACAGGGTGCCAATGTAAATATTTGGGCCAAAGAGAGATGAAATCACGTGAGCTTGGAGAAAAATTGCACAATGTGCAGCTTCATAATTTGTACTCTCTGCCAAATATAATTAGAATGATCAAGTCAAGGAGGATGAGATGGCCAGGGCTACACTACAGGATATGCGAGATCTTCTCAGTCTGTTATAGTCTTCACCAGCCGTTGTTTGGTAGCTGCTTCCAACGGCGGACATTCCCCTTCCTCTGATTTCTCGAAATATCCCTAGCCTCAACTACCGGCTCTTCACAGCAACAGTTCACAGCGACTGAACTGCAGAAGTTTTCTAACTAACTCAGTCCTCACTGACTCACTCATTACTCACTCACTGCCTGCAACTCCTAATTCTTCCTGCTTATGACATTTCGGCATGAACAGCGTAGAACACACCGTTCCTCTGTTGGAATTCGATTATTGCTTAGCGGTGGCATGACGTATTCCAATGCTGCGCGCGCAGCCATCGGCACTGACCTCCCAGAAAACGCTACTTTTCTGTTTTTTTACGGGGCACTGCCTAGTAACTGCCGGCTGTTGTGGCTCCACAATCCTTGCTTTGAGCGAATATGCCAGAGTATTAATATTCACATTTATATCAAGCTTAGAATGACTTGATGGCCCAAAGACATTTCTGGCCAAACTTCATCCAGTATTAACAGGAAACAAAAACATCTAGAACACGAAGAAAGTACAGTATACATGTTACGATTCGTGGAATATTTTCATAAAGTTGAATTTAGAGAATCTCATGTT